CGCCGGCGCGACATCCCTCTAGTCCTGAAGGGTAGAGTGTACAATGCAGCGGTACGTTCGACCCTACTGTACGGTTGTGAAACCTGGCTCCTTAAAGCAGCGGACCTGGAGAGGCTAGTTACGTTCGAGTACCGGTGCCTTCGCAATTTAGCTCACATCTGGTGGGAATACCACGTGAGCAACGAGCGTGTTCGACGCCTTGTTTACGGCACAGGAAAGGGAAATGAACCGCTCAGCACCGTTAGTTCACACACCAGGCTCCGATGGCTCGGCCACGTGTTACGCATGCTAGCCCACTGGCTCCCGCGACGTGCGTTGTTTGTTCGCTTGGGGGTGTGGATGGAAGAAGAGGAGAGGTGGCCAAGCGATGACTTGGTCGAGAGGAATGAAGGTCCTCACTTCGAAGCTGGCCTCAGTTGGAGCGTCTCGGCTTCCTGGTTGGGGTCCGAAAGAGGATGAACACGTTTGGCTGGATACACTTGCTGACATGGCAAAGAGCCGACCTCAGTGGTGTTCGTGCTGAGTTTCTTTGTCCCACCCCATCCCTCTTAGCCTCCCCCTCCAACCACGATCTCACTATTTAGCCTTATGTAATTTTGCATAGTAATTTTTTTGATGCACAGTAGCCGGCTGGTAGGTTACCGGAACGATGCTCATGCGTTACCGGTAGCTCAGCCGGCTTGCACCAATTGCACTTTTTTCTCCTTTTTTCTATGTATTGCGGCACAGTAGCTGAGGTGTTTCCCACCTCTAGCTAACGTGTATGATTATATGATGATGAGCTATCGTCCCATCTACCTGACTTCGATTTTGTGCAAAGTCATGGAACGGATTCTGAAGCGGGCCCTTTGCCTTCATCTCCATGAGTTGGAGTTCTCTCATGCCCAGCATGGTTTCCGAAGGGCGCGTTCGTGCGCCACAAATTTGCTAGTGGCTAGGGAAAAATGGGCAAAGTCCTTAGGTGCTGGTAAGCGACTGGGTTATGTTTGTTGGTTTCAGTAAGGCTTTTGACAAGGCCCCGCATAAGCAGCTCCTCTTCAAACCCTGGGGAATCGGCGTCACTGGCAATTTTCTTTCTTAGACCTCTGTCTTCCTGGACGGTCGCTCCATGCAGATTAAAGCGAACGTAGCGCTTTCTGATTAAGTTCTTATGATTAGTGGGGTCCCCCAGGGTTCTGTACGCGGTCCCGAACTTCAATATCTTCATCAACAACCTGCCATCCGAACTTCAGACCGAGTTCTTAATCTACGCGGATGATCTGAAGCTGTGGATTGTGGTACCCAGTCTGGAAGATGCAGACAGATTTCAAGCGACGCTCGATCTGCTCCACAATTGGCAAATGAAGTGGCAGTTGCCATTAACTGTGAGGAATGCGCTGTTCTTCCAACTGATCTCCTGAGCCCTTTGAGGCATACCATATCGGGGGTTTCTTGCTCAGAAATGTCAATCAGGAGAGGGATTTCGGGGTGATTGTGTCTCCTGATCTCAAATCAATCATAGACACCCAGAAGAGGGAATGCTTCACGCTATACGAAGAGCCTTCTCAGGCCCGACCCCAGCACTTCAGATTACTATTTGCTTTGCATGTGCGCCCGATTCTCGAGTACGGATTGCCAGCTGCGTATCCTCTCACCAAGTGCGAACGTGACATGATCGAGAAGGTTCAACGGCGTAGACCCAAATCCGTTCCAGTTGCGGGACTTAACCCCTACGGCTTCAACGGTTGAACCTGTTCCCTTTAGAGTATCGTCGTCGCCGAGATGATATTCACTCGACGTATTCTAAGAGGTGAACTGGGGAGTGAGCTGCAACCGTCCTTTCGTCTCAAAACAAAGTGTGTAACTCGAGGCTACCGGTGGAAACTTTTCAAACCGCGGCGACTTTGGGTACGATCCGGCCTGCCCTATCCACCCGGATAGTGAATGACTAAAACAGCTTGCCGGAAACCGTCGTCCATGCGGAGGCAGAGGAGTGTTTCAAGCAACTGTTGGATTTCCACCCTCGGAGTGCGCAAGGATTTCCCTGCCCCCAACACCACCACAGCGGTCCTCTGCGGAACCTTGTTCCGCAATGATCCCTGTAACTTTCACAACGATCGGCAAGTGACGGAGACGAAAAGGGAACTTCTACTGCTCTCTACCAACCAATGAACTAACGAAAAAAGAGGCTCCGAGTCCGTCTAGAGATCATTCTATCCACCCGAGCGGTAAACGACTGGAACAAAGTACCGGAAGCTGTAGTCAGTGCTTCTACCGAGGAATGTTACAAGATGTTGGATTTACACCTACTTAATTTGCCGGAGTCTTGCTATTATCCGTGAAATTGTGCCTAACTACTGTGATATTCTCATTCGCTATAAAACGCGCCATCTTCACGTTGATCGGGAAGTGATAAAGCAGACAAGGACTATCCCATCTGCTTTTTACTATTCAATGCATAAAATCCCTAACAGCACATGGAGTACCTTAAATGCCACTTTCATAAGCGTATGTCAGTGAAGTTAGGTGCATCCCATGAATGCTGCAACGCGGTGATACGGTATGCAAACGTTTACAAGTATAAAGTAAAACCAGCGTATGATTTGTTAAAAAATCCGGGTACGTGATGCATATTTTGTTTAAAAAGCGATGGATTCTCGCTTTTCACGTCTTCAAAGACGCAGACGTGGTCTGTCCTGTGTCATGTAATTCCAATCGTCTCCCAGTCATTTCTCATGAGTCGGTATAGTGGGACTAGAAAAACGGATGATGTACATTCATTTCTGGAACCTTTCCTTGTGGAGCTGCTTCAGTTACAGAACACGGGCTTGCGGTTAACTGACGAAACGATCGTTAGGGATGCGGACGTACTCGCTATCGTTTGTGACTCATCAGCAGGAGCTTACATCACTAAAAGCAAACGTTACTCGGGATATGGCAGCTGTCATAAGTGGTTCAACGCGGTGTCTATATTAGTTGAAAGGTAACAAAAAGCGCACATGAATACGTGGATTAGTCACCTTTGATGTTGAATCAGACAGGTTCAGGCATGAACGGGTAAAGCGTAGGAAACCACTCGCCGTTATCCACTACGCATCTGTATGCGTACCGTTCCTTATGTCCATATGCTTCCATTTCGGAGTACTATGACTGAATCGCATTTCTGCGTTGTCCGCATCGAGTTGGGCGACACCCCGAAGTACGTAGTCATAAGCAGTATCTGGCTGCTCATTGATAGCAGAAGGGCTAGTTTGCCGAACCTGGGATCGGTAAACTACCAAAATGCTGTTAACTTACATATGCCGGCATCTCAGGGCGATGCAATCTACAATGTAAATATTGTAGCCCGATCAGGTAAGTGTTCTTTAATGTTCATCTACGTTAGATGACGACGAAGACGCACGAACTACAGATCGAATTTTCACGTTGCACTCGACAACATCCGAGGCAACGTTCGAGGAGACACTGGAAGGCACATCGACACCCAAAATGTATGTCAAGGACTGTGTATGGTTTATTAAATTCAAAAGAAGTACTTAACCACATGTGCAACTGATTGCTCCAACATCCAACACGAATCCAATAGCATGCAGAATAGGTTTGTGTGTGTCTTAGTAGACAACGTTTTCAATAGCGTCCATCAACAACACGGAAATGGAAACCACTGGGCAAGGGGAGGTGAAAAACATGCTGAGCCATCCTAGATACCTTTCCATGACAACACCTAGCACATATTCTTTTTTTGCAGATGATCAAGAACGTATAGAGAAGGATATCTCCGCATTAAGGGAAATTGTACGTGGGTTATCCGACGTTATGCATACTGTAGCAGTCTGGAGACTCCCCGGTTTGCCTGTGTAAAATTCTAACTAAAATTATTTCATTGTACACCTAGGCAACCGGTGTGGTTCGTTGAACTGCTTGCTGAGTTCGAATGCTTGACTTGCTCATCGCCATTTTTTGCTTGGCGCTCCTTTCGGTTGCAACTCGCGAATGACCTGTGTGCTGTGCTTGCTCCGTTCACCTAGCTAGAGCGTCCACGGTGTCGTTCTTTTATAGCTAGATAACGGAATCTTTTACTGTACCAATAAAAGTTTCCCTGCAACTCGATCTGTCTTCTTGAATCGCTCTCTGGGCTCCCGGTACAGGCGACCCTCTAAAATACCGCTAAATTGCACGACGACAGTTTCCAAAAACTGCGGGTTATGTGTGCGAGGAACTGATATCTTTAAATGCGTTGCTTGAAATGGTGGATAAACGGAACACATTCGTACGCAGTGCATACATCATAACATGTTTACAGATATACCTAATTGAACACATTTCCGGCTCATGTTTGACGGCCTCCGCTAATCGCAAGTTAGATCGTGCTCTCACTGGGAAAACTGCGGCGCATGTAACTTACTCGTTGCGCACGACTTTTTCGCGTTTGGAAAATCAATAATTTGCACTGCGTTGTAAACTAACAAGCGTTTATGCTTAACAGATCTCAAATGAAGACGTTTTGTTGTTTCTTTAGGAACACAGTCATACGTCACAGGCTGTAGCTGATATCATTCGTAAGCCTCTACGAGTTTTAAGTAACCACAACAACCGCTGCACGAGCCGCTGTTTACTGCTGGGTAAACAGCTAGTTACCCAGGAGTGAAAGCTTCTGATTGGTTAACAAATATGGTACACCAATGTGACCTTTTTACCTTGGCCAATGGTGCCGACTAGGCAAATCAAACCTTGATCTACTCCGGGTCGCGCCATAGAGGCGTTGTCACCACAGAAACCTTGCCATCGCGGCGCGTACCCATGTGCTGTTAGGGATGCTAGTCAACGGGACACAGAGAATTTAATATGCCAAGATATTCTAAAAGATACAGCCCAGTTGTGTATGATCGATATCTGGGTGTTGCGAACATTCCATCCAAAACCTTGCACTATAACACTTACAGTAACGAACCAATAAATGCACTAAAATAATAGCAGCAGCAAAAACGCTCAATAATTTCGACAGTGAAACAACTACTTACGGTCACCATCTGCATCTTCTTCAAAATCATTTTCCCCATGTAAATCCAGCACATCAGCCATGAGGAAATTGCTATCCTTATTCGCAGACAGGCATGCTAACAAAACTTAAATGTACCAAGGAACAACGAATAATTGACGATGAATTTATTCTAGTTAACCCGCGTTGGTTTACAGGTTCCTTCAGATGGTGGGTGGAGATATCGGCCTCATAATAATAATATTAATGATAGTAAAGTAGGTAGCCACTTAAATATGATAATAACACAATAGTAGTTTCAGTCAAAGTCAAGTCAATGGACCGAACAGTAGGAAAATCCCGCGAATGTTCCACCTTTGAAAACGTCGTTTATCCAACAGGGAAACCGGTGCCTTGATGTGCCAAAGGAGAGCCAAATCAACACACACGATTCACATGGTCAACCAAACAATGCCCACGTGCCCTGCACTAGCAGTCCCCGCTGTGCCGGCCACGTGAAGAATAAAAGAAAACAGTAGTGTCAGTAAAGAAAAGGAAACAGAGAAGACAAGCTTATCGAATATCGTAGGCAATATTAAGATGTAAGTTAAAATGAGTTAAAGAAGCGTAGGCCGTAGTAGACGAAGAAAAGTTTAAGACATGAAGGGGAAGACTTTAAACTGCAGACCGAGAGCGTCAAGTCGATGCTCGAACTCTTTCACCGTCGGTGCCATCACGACGTCTGCAGGCAATGCGTTCCAATAAGCTATAACCCTACGCGATAATCTAAAAGTTGCACAAACCCCGGTCTGACCGGGTTTTGGCAACTTTTATGTGTGGCCACGAGGGGTTGGCATTCGAGTTGGGCGAAACAGTCCAGTCAAATCAGGACCGATCTGACCCATCATATACGGATATGTGAGACCAAAGTCGCCCCGAAGCTGCGCTGTAATACATGGAAAACATATCCACTTCAGTAGTCTTCTTCGGTACGTCTGCTTCTTTAAGTTAGTACACCATGTTTCGTACCGGACTCGCAAGGACTCGGGTCAACTGCCATCTTATCACAGACCAGGCATGGGAGGACAAGCCTAGGACGCAGTATTCTAGTGGCGGCCTTACAAAAGCCGAAAAGATAGTCGAGACGTACATGGTCTGTGGTCAGTGATACCGAATGACCTGCGGATCATCCACACATGTTGAAGCGCCTTACGAGCACCAGGTCTTCCAGTGTTCACCTGGACTTGAGGTCAGATGACAGCAAAACCTCGAGGTCAGATTGGAGTTGAACTCGCGGTACCTCGTTGCCGCCAAGCAAATAACGCGTCGGCGGGTCATTCGGACCAACGCGTAAAACGGAACATTTCGCTAAATTAACGGGCAACTGCCACAAAATTGACCAGTCCCAAAGTCTATCCAGAGCCTCCTGTAGGGTCAGTGGACCAATCGGCTCGTCTATCGTGAACCAGAGTTTCAAGTCATCCGCAAACATTAGGGATGGCACACCCAATTCATCAGGTAGGTCATTAACGTATAAAGTGAAGAGAAGGGGCCAAGAACCGAACCTTGCGGAACGCCACTGAGAACACATTGGCGGAAGGACAGGCTTGAACCCACCGCACACACATTTCCCTTCCGATTAGGAAAGCTGAAATCCATCGTAAGACTGGTCCAGAAATACCACAGGAATTCAGCTTGTACAAAAGGCGCGAATGTGGAACGGTGTCAAAAGCTTTGAAAAAGTCAATAAACAGCACGTCCACTGCCTTCCCGCAATCAACGGCTTCGGCCCAGTGTTCACGAGCGGTTAACAAGTTAGTAAGGCAAGAATAGCCCTTACGACGGACGATAGAGGCTTCCGCCTAACGAGCGTCCAGTTCTTGTGCCGGTAAGTGAAGCGGCCCCCGGCACTTCGACGTTGGATTGTCTCTTCTTGCTTCTGCAATGGAATGAAGCAAGAACAAGAGCAATCTTTGCACTTTCATATGCCAGCATCAAAATACACTACATATTCCAGTACAACTACAATATCTCTGGAAAAAGGATGGACCAACAATCGTCTAAGCCCCTTTTGAAGGCTTCTACGGTCTCAGACTCCACTAAATCAGAAGGAAGTTTATTCCAGAAGTTAACTACTCGGTTCGTAAAAAACTTTGCCCTGATGTCCAAACGAGCTCTGTGATGTTTGAGCTTCAGGCGATGCCCGCGCAGATGGTCTGACATAGCCAACTCAAACAGATGGGTGGAACTAATACCACTAAGTCCCTTAATGATCTTAAACGTCTCTATCAAATCCCCTCTCAACCTACGCCGTTCCAAGGAAAATAATCCTAAGCTACTTAGACGATCTTCGTAAGACTTCCCTCGTTGACCTTCGATCATCCTGGTCGCAAGTTTCTGAATCTTTTCTATACAAATGATGTCACTCCGGAGGTACGGTGACCAGGCCTGAACACAATACTCCAGATGTGGCCTAACCACTGCTTTATATAACGGCAAGAATACTTCTGCTTTAGTGTTACTCAGCGCCCTCCTAAGACGAAATAACTCGTGTCGCGCTTTATTGGCAGCATGGCGACACTGTGCCGAAGGCTTAAAATTGTTCGCTACGATGACACCTAGATCACGGGCTTCGTCAGTACACCGCAATGATAGAGATCCCACAGGAGACTGAACTGCAATTCCGCTACCACTACTAGTCAATAGTTGACATTTGTTGGCATTTAGAGGTAGGTCCCATTGGCTTGACCAATTCACCACAGTGATGATGTCCTTAGCCAATGTCGCTCGGTTTCCCCTACTGACTAGCTTCAAGTCATCTGCGAAGATGTAGCAGGGATCCTCAAGAAGAGGAGCCAGGTCATTTATAAACATAAGAAACAGCAATGGACCCAGTACCGAACCTTGGGGGACACCGCTGTAGGCATGGCCAACACTAGAACTCGCTTCCCCAACCCTGACTCTGAATGTCCTTCCACGTAAGAATTCAGAGAGCCATAGTAATAGTTGAGGATGCAATCCAAACCATGTCAGCTTCTCAATTAAAAATCGATGATTCACTGAGTCAAAGGCTTTACTGAAGTCCAAATAGCACACCTCTACCGATATCCCACTATCAAGACAACGGGTAATCTCGTCTAAAAAGCACAATAAATTGGTAAGACAAGACTTCTTTTAAGAAAGCCATGCTGTTCCGCTCTAATTAGATTGTGCTCAGTCAAGTGCTCACAGATCCTGTTCCTTATAAGCTTTTCCAAGCATTTCAGCATGATGCTGGTCAAACTAACAGGTCTATAGTTAAGAGGCACCGACTTAGAACCCCCTTGTGGATGGCAACAATAGTCGCCTCCTTCCAATCACGTGGCAGCTTGCCTTCTTGAAGAGACTGGTTGAATAACTCCGCTACGGGATACTGAAGGATATCAGCCAGAGGCTTAACTATGGCGGGATGTACACTATCAGGACCAGCTGATTTATAAGGGTTCAAACTGACCAGCACTGTGAAGACCTCTGACACATTGAGAATAATTTCCGGCATTGTGTAGCTAGTTGAGCAGTGCGGCTGTGATGGCAAGCCTGACCCACTATCCTTCCGATGCAGGTTTTGGTAGACACGTAGCAGCGCTTCTACTTTATCAACGTCGTCTACAGCCTGGGTACCGTCCTGCATGGTTAGACAGCCGACCACCTCTCTTAGAGAAGCCTTTGATTGGACATAACTGTAATAACACTTGGAATTAGTTTTCGCAAATTTGGCCAACCTAAGCTCATATGAGTACTTCGCCTGCCGCTGCAACTTAATAGCCATGTTTCGACACGTTTTGTATTGCAGCCAACGTCGGAAGCCCCGAGTTTCCTGATATTTTCTCCACTCAGCATTGCACTTCTTTATCGCTCTATCAATTTTTCTCCTCCACCATCGGGGTTTCCCAAGATGTCTCCTGGGGCGAAGAGGAGCAAATTTGTTCAGCAACTGCACAAGTCCATTTTTGAGTAGAAGCCACCTCTGTTCCAAAGCGGCTTTGTCTTGTTCAGGAATCCAAGTGATCTGAAGGGCTCGATCCCGCAGCTTCGTAAAATCAATACGATTTAAATCCCTTCCCATTCGACGGTTCTCTGCAAGCCTCGGTGTATCCAGAGAAAAGGTCAAAACACAATGATCACTCTTACCTATAGGTGGCTCCACGCATAGGTCAATCAAGTGGGCATGTCTGGCGATCAAGATATCAAGGGTTGAAGGGGTACTCCCAGTAGGACTCCTAGTGGGGACTTTGACGTATTGCTCGAACGCATTTACATGCATCCAGTCTACTAGTTCCTTCTCTAAAGTACCCATCCTGTTTTCAGCATGCTGCCAATCAGCATGCGGAAGGTTTAGGTCACCGACGATCAGAAAATTAGGTGCGGCCTTTGCCGCCTGTCTAAGTAACGTACCAAGATCCCTGTCCTCTTCTCTGGAGGGTGGGCTACTATAAACACATACTATAATCTCCAATCTACCCCATGCCACTTATGAATTTCGCCACTTATGATATACCTGTATATGCGATATTTAAATAACAAGTACATGCACAGGGCACAATAGTTCAGGCATTGCCGCAATTGCTTGACTGCATTCCAGGAACATTCCTCTCTTCCGTCTGTGTGGCTGGCTCTGTTCGTTTCCTTTTCTCCCGAATCTCTCACACGTACGGCGATACGCACCCAAAGAATTGTCCTCCGTTTCGATAACAATACAAGGCACTCATTTCCTTCACCTGGACATGAGCGGAAAATTATCAACTTTTTTACAACTTACTAACCGGACAAATCATTTAATATCTTGCACTGATGCAATGCTTCCGCGGCATGAACCACTGAGTTCCATTTACCTAACAATAGCTCTTCTACATATCTCTTGACTGGAGGAATTTCGACTACGGAAGGCACATTCTCCTGCCAACGTAAAGTCTGAACAATCGGTCATTCTAAGCTCTTCAATCCGCTTTCACTGCTCAAATGGCCGTGGTTTCCCCCATTTCTAATCAATTTCACTACATATTTCGGGGCATCTGCGATTCTATCTTCGGAACCTATCCTATCCTCCAAGACTTCAACATATTTCAACGTATATTCTTCAAGACTTCACGTGGTTCTGCAGATGA